TCATCAGAGTATAGTGTGCCTAAGAGGAGTCACCAGGAGAGAAAAGTCTCACATTCATGGAAAGCAGTTTGGTCAAGCAATGGCTGTGACTTACCCAAATGGTTGACACTGACTGACTGATGCACTAAGAGGTGCTGTGCATGGTTCCAAGGTAATTCCTGAGGAGGCTTAACTGACCTTGATAGATGGCAAAGAAGGTAAATTTTATTAACACAGGTCTTACTTTAGCTTGGTCTTAAACACCCAGCAGAAAAGTATATACAAAAGATATATATCCTATGTGCTGTTTTAAGTGCTTCAATTATAAAAGCAAAAAGGGGGATATGTTCGGGGCCTCAAATTCACAGTGACTGGTTTTGCGTGTTTCCCTGTGGGACGAAAGGAGGGATTGGGATTGTTGGTACCACCCATCTGGGATTTCCCACTGACTCTTCCAAGCAAAAGATCATCTACGCCTTCTTAAATAATTTCAGGATTATATTCAAGGACAAGATACTTCAAAGCATAAGATCATCTATGCCTTCTTAAATCATTACAGGATTATATTTGGGTCAAGATACTTCAAACATAAGATTATCTACGCCCTCTGGAGTCAGTCTTTGGATGAATTGTAATCCTTTGCTAGGCCCACCTGTTACTGTGTAGACCACATAAATAGTGACTGTTTTGGGAGTGGAAGAAGTTGGATCCAGGGACATTGACTTCCCAGCCATTGTTGGAATAGGATAATTATCTCTGTTTTTTATTTTTCTTGTGATGTCCTTGAGACGGACAATCGGGACTCTTGGTCAGGTTTTCAATATTGACAATTGGGACTTTTGGCCGGTTCCCACCATGGAAGACATTGTTTGACTGAAAAAGAAGTTCCAAATCAACTGGGAAGGAACTAGCCAAAATGATAAATGAATACCTTGAAATGTACAGAACATTATGGAAACAGTGGAAGTTTGAAACTGGTGATGACAAGAAGATGTAAAGACTACATTGAGTTCAGTCTAAAAATATATTACAAATAATATGTTGTATGTTCACAGAGAAATATTTATATATTAAAATTCACTTTAACTTTTTTTTTTTTGGCAGTACCAGGGATTGAACTCACGACCTTGCGTTTAGCAGGCAGGCACTTATGCTGGTGAACTAAATCCCCAGCTCTTTAACTTTTAGTTCTACATTAAATGATACCATAAAAATTATGAGGCTATTGAAATTCAAGCACCAGCAATACTTTCTTTTCAATTTAGGTGAAGAAATGTAGTTACATATTATTTATTTATTTATTCCTGAAATATATTGACAGTGCAAAGGAAAATTATTGTATATTAAAAGGAAAATTTTAAGTTAGTCTTTGTGAATATTTCTTACTTTGTAGGTTTCTTAAAGTATAGTTATTGTCTCCAAAACATGGCATCATTAATTGATACTCTGAGCACTTGAATTAACTCAATCAAAATACAGTGATCATGTAGAAAATATGTTAACATATACTGGTGGTTTATGAATTCAAAATTAAAATTCCGTTTTGAAATAGTGACGTGGAAAGTGTTTTTAGAAGTGATATTTAATTGGTTTTATTTGAACCCTAAAGGAAAATTAATAGTACCAATAGAGCACAAAGTCAGTCTATGTCTGAGGTAAAGCTTTAGTATTATTTTAAAATTTTTAAATAAAAAACTTGGTGTCCCCAGTACCGATAAAAAGGAAAAAGACAAAAAACAAAAAAACTTGGTGGTATTCAGAGCTTCAGAATGTTTTGCAGCTTTGAAGTACAAGTTCAGGAGATTAAATTGTTGAAATACTGATTGAGAGTCTTCAGTTCTAAAAGTTATTTTTTGATGACTGCTATAAGGAATTTGATGAAAACTGAGTATTGATCAGAAGTGGAATATAGCATAAAACCTATTATATATTTAAAGATCAGTAATGGAGAAAGAGAAATAATTTCACAAAATAAAAGAAAATAGAAAACAAATCCAAAGAAAGAATAAAATTAATGGGAAATTCATATTCTTTTACTATCTGTGAATGAGATGAACTTTTCTGCATGTTCACATTGGGCAGGCCAAAATAACAGCAAACCACAACAAAAATCCTAAAAAGTGTTAGAAGCAGTGAGAAAGTTGAAAAGTTGGAGATAGTAGTAGATCAGCAGGCAAGATGATTTCAGCAAAAGTGTAAACCAAAGCATACAGTAATGAATACAGTATTCATTTCAAAGAGAGATTTCAGATCCTTTCATGGTACAGTGTGAAGCATTACAAATGATAAAATATGTGATTTAAAAAAAGATATTTTAGAGTTATTTGTGCTCAACAACATAACAGCTAAATATATAAATAAAATTCTTTTATGGAGTGACTTAATCCCTTCCAGGAAAATCTTTATCTGATAGAGAATTAAAATCTTGTATATTGAAGATTTCCCTATTGAAAATTATTTTATAACTTTTAATATTTTGTTCGCTTTTGTCTACCTCAATATCTAAATAAACCTGACAAATATGCTAGGTTTGTAAACAAATTTGTTTTCAAATTCTTTGCCTGAAACATCTAGATTGAATTTTGTGTGTAAAAGAGAGTATGTAAAAAAATATTTCAAATTAAAATGATTTTTGTGTTATGTACAGCTATGGAAAAGTTATTGAGGTTTATTTTTGTTTTGATATTATAAATGAATTACCTAAAAGATTCCAAGGTTCTATAGTTGTTATTAAAATATTGTATATTTTATAAAAGTATATTTTAAGATTAAGAACAAACAGTATACATACAATTTAGGATCAACTTTTGATTAGTGTCAACTGTTTCGAATTTGTGGCAGATATCTTAATTATCACTTAGATTTTTTCGGTACTGGGAATCAAACCCATGACCTGCCTCTTGCCATGCAGGCACGCACTTACACTGCTAAACTAAATCCCCAGCCCATCACTTATATTTGTAAATGTTTTACAATTTATAAACCACATGTACTTTACATAGTATACTATACATAATATATATATGGTTACACCAAGAATTGACTTGTCAGTTTTGATTTAGTGAATCATAGATTTTACCCAGTGACAGAATAGTCAGTGATTCAAAGAATGTAGATAAATATCTAATGCAGGAGGAACATTCCTTTTTTGGAGGAGTCCCAAACTTTGAGAAACAGACTCCAAAAATGTCTTTTTTTTTTTTTTTTTTTTTTAGTTTGCTCATATTGTATGTATATTAACTTTAGTCTCAGAATAAAACTTAACACCATCAGTTTAATTTGCATTAGGTTATCATAATTTTTTGTTTTTGCTTTGTTTTCTGAGGTAGAGTCTAACTACATAGGCCCAAGCTTAATTACTCTTGCCTTAGCCTTGGAGTTCTGGGATCACAGACTAACCTGTAATTCTGTGCTTATTTATAATAATCAGTTTAAATAGTTGAGCTCTATATTGCTGATGTATTTTCTGGAAAAACACTTTTTCTTGTTAATATTCTTAATTCTGTTAGACTGCCATCTGACTTGAGGTCCTTAGTAAAAACTTTAGTATAGGTCTTTCCTTATTCTTCCCCTAATAGTCAAAAAGTTACATTCCTGCTATTAATTCTTTCTTCCCAGTACATAAGAATGATGGATATTGTTCTATATGGAAATTATTTGATAAAGTAATCTTTTAAATTTTTGTCCAGTAATTGTCAGTATTCTTTGTTTTGGTTTATGCTAAGAAAATGAGCAATTAAAGTGGATGCTTGTTGACTATTTAACTTTATTTTATGTTGCTAAATAGACTCAAATGTAATAGGTTATCCCTAAATCCTAAATAGTTGCTGTAATTGTTTAACGGTGACATTTTTGATTCATTGTGAGAATCTTAAGGAATGTTTTAAAAACTGCTACACCCTTGTCTTAGTTACTTTTCTTGTTGCTGAGACAAAGTACCCAATACCCATAGTTAAAGGAGGAAAGGTTTTATTTGGCCCAAAGTTTGTAGAAATTTTAGTTTATAGTTGGCTGACTCCAAGGCAGGGTGACATGACATAGGACATCACAAAGGAGAAACAGCACGTGGTGGGCAGAAGGAAGAAGGAACTAAGGAGCTACAAGGAAAAAGCAACAATAGCAGATTCTTTCTGTCCCTTTTATGTTCTGTGTAGGCTACCTGGCTTAGGGTAAGTGCCAAACTAATCAGTAGATTGACTTAGTAATTGAGGACCACACACTCTAGATTCAGCCACTTCTGAAAAAGCCGGCTTTGGGGGGACATCTAGACACAAGCCATAACACTCCTTATTAGAAATTTGTTGTAATGGAAAATAAGAGTGATTTTTTTTTTTTTTTACTAAGCCCCTCAGCCTGTTTCAGTTTAGTATAAGTCACTACAGTAAAGATTCATTTTACAATTAACAAAGTACATGTTATAGTTCTGTCATTGTTTTCTTTAACCATGTTTGACATTTTGTTTACCTTGCAGAATATCCTCAAAGTTACCAACAGATTTTTAGAAAATCCTTTAAGAAACTCTTTTTAAGGAAACTTGAACATATAATAGGCTAAGAGCATAACAAAAAAATCCTTAATATAGAAGTTATTCTCTGCCTTGAAAGCCAGATCTTTAAGTAGACTTGTGAGTAACTAGCAGTTTTGCTGAGGTGACTTATACAGAAATTTAAAGATATCAAAAAATATTAATATACTCAAGTTTCTGTTAACGAAATAATGGTTATTCCTTGAAATTGTTAAAAGGATAATAAAATTTTGCAGTTGCTAGAACTTTAGAATTTAATTAAAGCAGGCAATTTATTTCAAAAGAAGAAATATTAGTGGAATTTAGCTCTAGAATCTTGTGTCTTGTCCAAATTAATATATGAATTGGAACAAACTAGTAAGCCACAATACTGCATTTAAGGACTAGATGCCATAACTTACTATAAATGTGTTTGGTTTTAAATCACAGGACTATCTCTGAGTTTTCTTTTAAAGATTTATTTAATTTACTTCATAATGTCATTTTTTGCAACAAGGTCATTTTAAAGATGAATGAGAAAAAATTGGAAACAACCTCCCAACAGCGGAAATTTCCTAAATGGATGTCGGTACCGAATAAAGGATGTACTCCCAAAGGAAAAGAGGTATAGTGTTCATTTACTGTTTTTTTTTTATCAGTTTTTATTTTTTACTAGTACAGTACATGTTTGCAGTATGTAATGATTACATTCCTCGTGGGGAATTGGAATGTGTACATGACATGTCTTACTTTTATCCCCTTCCCTGCCTTCCATCACATCTTCCTCCTTTGATCATATCTCCTTCCATCTCTTGGTCTCCTCATTTGAGAAAGATCTATCTCCCTGCTTCCTATTATCTCTCTCTAATTTTGCTTTTGGATTTCTCATATAAGAAACCATAAACTATTTGAGCATATGTGTCTGATTTATTTTACTTCACATTGACAATTTAATGAGTCAGTCCTCATTTGTACACTTCAGATCATTATATAAGTCAGAGTGTCTGTTTTGTGAATGAACCAAGATCTAATTGTTGAAAACCTGAAGGTGAAAAATTTTAATTGGGTTAACAAAATAAGAATTCTTGCTGTATACATCTGCTTTCTGTATCCAGTTTGTATAGTTGAACTTTACTAGTTTGTTCCAATTCATATATTAATTTGGACAACATTAGCAGTGGTGAATTTTTTTGTTAAGCTTGGTTCTCATAGATTAAAATGTGGTAACCAGTTGCCCGCATTTCTTTTTTTCTTTTTCTTGTAAAGGGGCTTTTTTTTTTTGGTCTTAGTTTTACTATTTTCTTTTTGGCACCGGGAACCGAACTCAGGCCCTCGCGTCTGCCAGGCAAGCGCTGCACCGCTGAGCTACATCCCCAGCCCATTGCCTGCATTTCAAGCCCACAGTATTACATTACTACTTTGGTTTCTCTTCAGATCCTATAAATCTTTCTCCTTTTACATTATTACTGAGATAATTACCAAAAAAAAAAAAAAAAAAAAACAACCAAAAACTCCTAGGTAAAATAAATGCTTTAGTGAAAATAGGATTAGATGTTTGAAAACAGATTTATTAGGAAAAATAACTTTACATTGGGGTGCCTTTATCTTTTTAAAATTGACCTTGAATTTACTAGTCTATAAAAAGCATTAACTGGTAAAATGTAGAACTAAAAATTAAATGTATCAGTGAGCTTTATTATTTCAGCAAACATTATTAATATAAATTTTACTTTGTCTATTTTGTATGTATGTTACTCAAGCCATGCATTCAGAAGAGTATTTTTGAAGATGATCTCTCCTTCTTAGAATTTACTGGATCTATTGTATATAGTTATGAGGCTAGTGATTGCTCTTTCCTATCACAAGATATCAGGTAAGACATTTAAATTAGCTAATTTTATTTATTTTGGACCCTTAGAACATAATAAATATTATGGTAATATTTGTAAATACGTTGAGTTTTACAGTTGTTTCAGAGGTATTTCTCTGTGTAGATTATCAATAAGTTCTATTCTACTTTTTAAATAAAATAGTCATAGAATTGTTTGTAATGTGTCTTTTATTATTTTAGATGAATTCTTTTAATTCTTAATGTATTATATATAGAACTGTTGAACACATTGTGTATATTTTACTGACTTTTGGAAAGAATTTCTAAATATACCTCTACATCCTAAAACATTACAATAATAATATTGAACAGTGGATATGATAGGGTCTGTTTTATTCAGGTAGTGATAGTTACATCAGTGGTCCTTAGAAAGAACATTAAAACTGACTTTTAATTATTCCCTTGTGTCCTGTTTTCTGCTTCTGAAACAAAATTACCACCTACTGGATATATTCTAAAGAAAACAAATTTGTTTCTCAGTGTTTGAGGCTGGGAAATTGAATAGTGATACACTGGCATCTAATGAGGATTTTGTCCTTTGGGATAACATGGTGAAGGGCAGAGGAGCAGTGACAGGGTGCAGGGGGGCCAAACTGAAGCCTGCTCTCTGGATAGCCCACCCTCGCCATTTGTAGTGTGAATCCATACAGAAGCGCCAAGCCACTGTGATCTTGTCACCTCTTACCAGGTCCTGCCTACCAACATTGTTGTGTTGAGGATTTCAGTTTTGTCGTGAGTGTTAAAACCATAGCACCTTGTTAAATTAAGACTGCAGTCATACAATCTCAGGCTATCAGTGCACTTTACAAGCAGAAGTAGTAAGGAATTAATTCAGATCTGTTTGGAAGTTATCATACTGTACTTGTTCCTGCCCACTTCCCTTTATTTTTTAACTATTACTCTTGGCCTTAAAAACGCGGAAATAGCTGGGTATGGTGGCACATACCTTTACTCTCAGTACTCTGAAGACTGAGGCAGGAGTATTTTGAGTCTGAGGCAGCCTGGGGGACTTAATGAGACACTGTCTGAAATTCTGCCCCTTAAAAGCGTAAGTCCATGTTCTCCTGGTGGTAGAATTTAGCTAGAAATACACTCAAGATAGCCTCACTTCCACTCCAGTGATCTGCCCACTTTCATTATGCCGAATTCAGTTAACTCACAGAGTAGGTGAAAATCTGTTATTATTACATATGGACTTTACCAACATTTGCATTACTATGTCATATATGAAGGCAATAATCATAAGTGATTTGAAGATTTACAGTTTTGACGATTGTATGTGGTAAAAGGTAGAGTTTTTGTTTTGTTTTATATTTCCCCTTTTCTGACCACTTTTAAGTTTTATCCCACCCTGTGTGTATGTGTGTACTGGGGATTGAAACCAGGACCTTTGCACTGGACTACAACCCAAGCCCTTTTAATTTTTTTGAGACAGGGTCTTGTTGCCTTGGTGGGACTCAAATTTGCAGCCCTTCTGCTTCATCCTCCCTAAGTGCTGTGAATACAAACATGCACAATTATGCCTGACTGACTTTTAAGATTTTTTAATCTAGCAGTTTTCCCACAATTTGATTATGGTATGGCTTTGTGTAGTGTAGTTTGTGTTTATTCTACTTGGAACTCATTGAAGTTTTTTGTTTCTTTGTTTTTGTTTTTTAATTTATAGATTTATAGTTTCTATCAACTTTGAAAATTTCTTCTATCATCCTACAAATCTTTACTTCCAGTAAATTAGACTACTTGGTATTGTTTCTGTTCAATCCCCCACCTACTTTTGTGTCCTCAAGTTGACTTACGTTATCTCATCTGCTATTTATCCTTTCCTGTAAATTTTTTGTTTTAAATATTTTTCATTTCTAGAAATTTTATTTAAAACTATATCTGCCATTTGGGTCTCAATATTTTTTTTTAAATTCTTGAACATTTTTAGCATATTTATAGTATTTTAATGTCTTTCTTGTTAATATCATTATTTGTGTTGTGTGATTATTCCTCTTGGACATGGCTCATAGTTTCCTGTTTTTCTCATGGCTGTTAATTTTGCTGATTAGACATTGTGAGTTTATTTTGTTGAATGTTAGATTTTGTCTTCTTTCAGAAAAAGGAGCTTTCTTTGTCAGTTATTAAAAGATCAGCTTTATATATTTTAAGACTCGTGTTTACACGTTGTGTCTTAGTAATTTTCAGTTATTGGGACAAAATACCCGACACTTGGAGCTGAAGGAGGAGAGATTTATTTTGGCTCATGTTTTAGAAATCGTAGACCTTGCTGGTTGGTTGGCTGTAGGAAAAGTGGCACAGTGGAAGAGCTTGGTAGAGGAAAGTGATCACCTCACGGCAGGAAACAGCAGCAGAAAAGGAAAAACTCCGGGTTATGCCCATACTGACCCACCTCCTCTGACAAGACCCTGCTTTCTAGCAGAAGTCAGCTATAATACCCTCATAATCCAGTCATCTTCCAATCAAACACACGAGGTTTTGAGGGCTGTTTTAGATAGAAATCATTAACAGTGTAGGTCTGCATTTACCTTTAGTAAATTAACCGTAATTTAAAGATTACCCTTCTTCCTTGTGACCATAATGCTAAGTGAAATAAATCAGACACAGGTGGTTAAATATGGGGTAGTTTCTCTTCTATGAGAAATCCAAAGTATAAATAATTTAAAGAACAAAATAAAAGATAGATGATAGGAAGCAAGTAAAAAAGAACTTTTGCAAATGGGAGGAGACCTAAAGAGGGGGAGAGAGGGGGGAACTAAATCGGATTAAGATGTGATGTGTATATGCACCAACTCCCTACATTGAGTTGAGTGTGCCCTGGTGTCAGAAACGTACTACAGTGGAGTCTGCTGATTTCCCCAAGTGATCAACGACAATTTCTACTAAGACTTTTCAGAACTTTAAGGCCATCTACCTCTGTGTAATCCCTAGGAATGGTTCAGTTTATGGCTTCTCCATGGTTTTTTGCTCAGCTTCATATAGTTCCAGACCACTCATGCATGTCTTAATGTTCTGCAAGTACTCAAGGAAACTCATGAAGACTCGGGAGTTCCCCTGCTTGCCATGCTCTTCTGTAGTAGCCTGCTCCACAGCTCCCAGATGTGTCAGCTTCTCTTGCTGTGAACTCTGGTTCCCCAACTCAGTGTTCTTCTTGGGATTCTCCTTCCTGTTCAGTTGTCTGAAGACTGTAAGGCTTTCCCTTTGTTTCCCTTTCTTCAGAGCAGAGTCCTGCACAGCCTGCTGCAATTTGTCCAGTTATCAATTTGTTTTTGATAGAAGAACGAGTCTGTTTCAGCTATTCTATTTTGGCTTGACGCAGAGTTGAGTTTATTTTTAAAATACATTTATAAAGTTAAAAATTGTGAAATAGGCAAATATAATCATAGGTGGTATGATAAATACATATATTCCTCCCACCTGGCCTTATCAAATTTTTTGTACTAGAGATTGAACCCAGGAGAGAGTTTTAATCAACTTATGTCTTCATCAGAAATACAGCTGCTCCCCGAGCTCTATTTCCAGCCCTTTAAATTTTTTTAATTTTTTACTTTGAGACATGGTCTCCCTGTTACCCAGACTTTGCTCAAGGTTGCAGTCTTCCTTCCACAGCTTTGCAGAATGCTAGTGATACAGGCATGTGCCACCATGCCAGACTGCTTAATCAAATCTTAACATTCATTTTCTCCAGATCTTTATTAGAGATTGCAACAAATAGAATACAGTTGAAGCCCCTCCCATATATAAAATTTTCTGATTTTTTTTCCCCTGTGCCCCTCGAAGTTCTGTCATGAATTCAATGTCTAGCATTCTCTTACATGTTTTTAATATTACTTCATAATTTTATATCCCAAAATATTGTATCATTTCACTTGTTTAAAAACATTTACCAATATTATCAAATTATATGTACAAGCATACTCTAACTTATGTTTTTCATTTAACACTATGTTGTAGGTAATTTTTTTCTGTAATTCCATTTCAACTTTTTTGCGTTGTTGCACTGTTTTATTATTGTTTGCCCATTTTCTTGTTTTTCACCAATAGGAACGCGTGTCTGTCTCTTTATGTACATACTAGTCTCATATATTTATGGGAAAAGATTGTCAGGTCATACATAGTATTTGTGTATTTTCAAATAGATGTTGTCAAAAGTTTTTCCAAGAGAATTTTTACCAATTTATGTGTTCATCAGAAATGAGCAGTCCCACCCATAGATGTGCTTCATGGCACTTGATATTGTGACCATTTAATTTTTGTTAAATTTTATTAATCAAATAGATGTGTAAAATTGTGTAGAGAAAACTGGAGCTTCTGATTTCGTTTTGCAAATTGCATGTTCCTGTTTTTTTTCTGTTGGATTATTATATTTTCTTAATTTTTTTGAGTAACTTTTAATATTTTCTGGATATTCATTGTCAGTTATATGTGTCACAGATTCCTTCTACCAGTCTGTAGTTTGTCTTTTTAGTTTTTGAATGATCTCTTTAGTTTTATAGAACTTTAATATTTTAATGCAACTAATCTTCAGTGTATTTCCTTCTTTAGCATGCGTCTTTCTCCTGGAGATGTGATAGGATTTGATATGGAATGGCCACCAACATACAGTAAAGGGAAACTCAGCAGAGTTGCACTAATTCAGCTGTGTGTGTCTGAGAGCAAATGTTATTTGTTTCACATTTCTTCTATGTCAGGTTGGTTGTCTCTTTTATTTCAGTTTTATTGAAATTGCAATTATCAACTTTATTCCTTTAATATTAATCTTGTATTAGCTGGCTTTCCTCTCATCATCTTGTATTTAGTTTCTACCTGATTTATTCACATTCCCTGTTACACTGAATTTTTATAACATTCTGTGAGGCACCTCTATTTTCTTGTTTTAAGGGAGAAGTGAAGTTTAGACAGTGTTTATGAAGGATAGACTGATGACACTAGCAGAGGTGACATTCAGACTTTTTTGGTTTATCACTTATCAATCAGGAGTTTTGTCTTAGGAACAGAAATATTTAAGGTTTCTGAATTTAACCTTAACAAATACAAATTTAAAAATACATGTAGTAATTATTAGAGGTGAGGGTACTTAACAGATATTATGGAAATAATGATGAAATATTTCAGTTTTTCCCCAGGGATTAAAAATGTTGCTTGAAAATGAAGCAATTAAAAAGGCAGGTGTAGGAATTGAAGGAGATCAGTGGAAACTTCTACGTGACTTTGACATCAAATTGAAGAGTTTTGTGGAATTGACAGATGTTGCCAATCAAAAGGTAGATTATGTGTGTTTTTTCCTTAAGAAAATAGTTTTGTGTTTTTACAAAATATGCCTTCTAGCTGAATGTTATGTTTTTGACAAAATAATTTAAGCTACATATTGTTTTTGTAGCAGTAGAGAAATTCTCTGGGTTGAAGTTGGGTATAAAATTCCTAGTCTTATTTGTGGCCTGGTTATTTGGTGGTCTTTAGGGATGTCTGATAATAGTAGGAAGTAATTTTTGCTTTATTACTTTTTCATTACTTCCAGTTGAAATCTACAGAGATCTGGAGCCTCAATGGTCTGGTTAAACACCTCTTTGGTAAACAACTTCTAAAAGACAAGTCTGTCCGCTGTAGCAACTGGAGTAATTTCCCTCTCAGTGAGGATCAGAAACTGTATGCAGCCACTGATGCTTATGTACGTACTTACTGAGTTTTAAGTTGAAATGATTTTTGAAACCTTGTTATAAATTACTTTGCAGAATTTTTATTGTGGTGATAACATAAACCCAACTAAGATACTTAGTATCATTTTGGCATTAAAAATGCTTTCATTAAGTGAAACTTAGTTCTTGATATAAATTAGCAAGTATCAACAGATTAAGTACTATTTATTTTCACTGTCATGATTCCAAAATAATATTCAATTTGTAGGTAAAAGAAATGTGAACTTTGCTGAAAACATGAAAGACTAATAAGCTTAGACTCAGCAAGCACAAGTGGTATTGATGATGCATTTGATATGTAACACTTCAGAATAAGAGTAATTATAAAACTGTTTCTATATTGCAACTGGCCTTATTTCTTCTATTTATATTTTAACTGTAGTAAAAATGTAGAAAAATTGCCTCCAAATTTGGCATGCTGCTTCTTATATTTACAAGTTTGTACATGATGAAATCTGAATTTTATATATAGTACTCTTCTGTGTGTATCTAATGTATGAAATACATTTTTCCATAATTTCTTTTCCTTTAATTGGTAATTTTTACTTATTGATGAATATTTTTGTTTCCCATTTTGCCTCTGTTTTTAGGAGTGGAAATGCATTTAATTTGTAATCAGAAAAAAATTAAATTTTGTCAGAGACATGGTATGACATTCCTCTTATAAAAGTACAGTACTTGTTGAAAGTAGGACAAGTTCTATAGCATTTTTATTTATAAAAATTCAGTGCATTTTGATTTTTCCTGTTAACAGTATTTACAAGGAGAACCGTTCACACCCTAACATTCTCAACTGATTTAATGAAATGGAAGAAAGTAAATTATCTGTGGTCAAAACAGATTTCTCTCCTTTTATGTATTTTGTGAGTTTTTTTCCAACAGTGAATTCAATTTGGATATTTGCTTATAATATTAAGGGTTAGCGAAAACTTAAACTTCTCTTTAAAGGATGAGACAGCTTTCTCTGTTCTCATTACTGGTGATTAAGTGAAGATGCATAGATGTTTGTGTAGCAGTAATAGATTGAATTTAGTTTCAGGGTTGCTTTGAGAATCATATTTTGGATTTTTCTAGATGGGACATAGAATGTTATTTTTGTTATCTTTTCTCAGCTTGCTCTTTTGTTTCTCCTGTTTTGCTGTAGGCTGGTCTCATCATTTATCAGAAATTAGAAAGTTTGAGTGATGCTGTACAGAGGTTTGATACAAATAAAGGTATGTATGATCTCAAGGTAAAAGATAAAGTGTGAATTGCCTGTTTCATGAATTTGAAATATGGTCTTTATTCAAAATGACAGTATTCATAGATTTGTAAAGTGTTACATATTATTACAGCTTTTCTCTTTATTAGTGCTTGTCTGCATTACATACTGATTGCATCCCTTGTGAGGAGTTGGTGGTGCATGTGTAACACATCCTAATTCTTTTTCATCTCCTTGGCCTCCCTTCTTCTCTGTTCCTTTAGTTTCTTGATCCTTTTATGTTTTTATTTTGCCCTTTATGTTTTTTTCTTATATAAGAGAAACCATGCAATATTTAAGCATGTGTATTTGATTTTCCTTAACATTATGATCTTAAAGTACATCCATGCTTCCACAAGTGGCTCAAGCTTATCATTTTCACGACAGAGTAGTAATACACAGTATAGTCTGCCAACATTTTTCTTATCCATTCATCTGTTGGTGGACATGCAGACCACTTGCAAAGATTTAACTTTTATGAATTTTGTTGCTCTAGATATGAGTATGAGTATATCCCTGAAATACATGTGTTTAACTCTTTTCGAAAGATATCTAGAAGGGGATTAGATGTGAAATAGAATTTCTTCTATTCTTAGTTTTTTGAGCAGTCTCCATATTGATTTCCATAATAGTTGTACTAGTTTGCATTCCCTCCAATAACATAGAGAGGTTCCTCTTTTCCTGTGGCCTTGCCAGCATTTGTTACTATTTGATTTCTTGATGGCAGGCATTCTTTCTGTTGTAATGCAGAATCTCAGTGTTGTTTTAATTTGCATTTTTTTAATTGATAGAGATGGTGAACATTTCTTCATGTGTTTATTGGCCATTTGAGAAGTGTCTATTAATTTTGAGAAGTGTCTTCTTTTGAGAAGTGTCTATTAATTTTTGTTGCCTATTTTTTTGGACTTCCTTTGGGGAGATCCTAGTTTTTTGGAGTTGTTTATATATTCTAGATCTTTGTCCTTTGAAGAATACCTGGAAAAATTTTTTTACCAATCTAGGTTGGTTGTTTTTTGCTCTAAGTGCTTCTTTTGTTTTGCAGAAGCTTTTTAATTTGATATGATCCCATTTGTTGATCCTTGGTACCATTTCCTGCTCTGGGGTTCTTTTTAGAACGTTCTTGCCTATGTGTATGACTTCAACACTTTTACTCATTTTGCGTTTCAGCAGATTAAGTGTTTCTGTTTTAACATTTGGCTCTTTGATCCATTTTTAGTTTAGTATATGGTGAGAGATATGGGTATAGATTCATCTTCCACATGTAGATAGATAGTGAATTTTCTCAGCTCCATTTATGAGAGAGGAGATTTTTTACTCTGGCTTATGTTTTTTCCTTCTTTGTCAAAGAGCAAATAGTGGAATATGGTTGGGTTTTTTTTTTTTTTTTTGCATCCTTTGTTCCGTTCCATTGATCCATGTATCTGTTTTTGTGCCATAACTGTGTAGTTTTTAACACTGTAGTTTTGTAATACAATTTGAAGTCTGGTAATGTAATGCCTGCCATTTTGCTATTTTTATCCAGAATGGCTTTTACTATTCTGTTTCTTTTTTTTCTGCATTAATTTTAAGACTGTTTTCTCTAGTTCTGTGATGAATGCTGTTGATACTTTGATTGGAATTGTGTTAAATCTGTGTATCAATTCTGGAACTATTCCTATTTTGACTATATTGGTTCTACTTATCCAGGAATGGGACATTTTTCCATTTTCTAATGACTTCTATATTTCTTTTTTCAGAGTAGTAGTTTTTATTGTAGGAAGTGTTTCAGTTCCTTGGATAAGTTAATTTTTAAGTATTTAATTGATAGTGACATTGTGAATGCTATTTTTTTTTTTTTTTGTAATTACTTTCTCAACGCTTTCATTGTTGGTGTACAGGAACGCTACTGATTTTTTGTGTTGTGATATTGTGTTGATTTTGTATTTTCTTACATTGCTGAATTTGGATATTAATTTTCTGAGCCTTTTGGTGCAATATTTTGGGCCTTGTTATGTAGAGTATCATGTCATCTGCAAATAATGATAAGTTGACTACTTCCTTTACTATACATATCCCTTTTTTTTCCTTACCTAATTGCTTTTGCTAATGTTTTGAGTACTGTGTTGAACAGGAGTGGAATATTGGTCATCCTTGTTTTGTTACTGATTTTTGGAGAAAAGGTTTCAATTTTTCCCCATTTAATATGATGTTGGCAGTGTTTGTAATAAATTGCTTTTATGAGATTGAGATAATGTCCTTTTCTACCTGTTTTCTTCAGTGTTTTATCGTGCACAGATGTTAGATTTTGTCAAAGGCTTTTACTGCAGTTATGGAGATACTCATGTGATTTCTTCATCCTTTTGTTTGTATGATGTATTATATTTATTGATTTGTGTATGTTGCACAATTCTTATGCCCTTGGGATGAAGCCTACTTGGTCATGATGTATGATCTTTTTGATTATTCGTTACGTCTCGTTTGCCAGTATGCAACAATGAAGATTTATCATGTATTTTCATTAAAGAGATTGGGCTATAGTTCTCTTTTTTTGTTGAATTCTTCTCTGGTTTTGAAATCAGAGTAATATTGGCTTTTAGAAATGACACTAGTAATACTCTTTATCTCTCCGTTTCATTAAAGAGTTTGAGGAATATTGATACTAGATATTCCCTAAAGTTTTTATAGAGTCAGCAGTGAACTGGGCTTTTCTTAGTGGGTAAGTTTTTCTTTGTTTCTTTTTTTTTTTTTTTACTACTGCTTCAGTTTCGTTGCCTATTACTAGATTATTTGGGGTTTCTAAATATTTTGGTTAAGTTTTGATAATTCATATGAATGTAGGAATATTTCTAAAGTTTTCAATTTATTGGTATACATGTTTACAAAGTATCTGCTAATGAATATCTGAATTTCCATGATGTCCATTGTGATTTTGCCTCTTTTATATCTAAATTGCATTGATTTGGGTCTTTTCTTTCCTTTTTTGGGTAAGATTGGTGTTTTACTTTTCTTATTTCTTATACTCAACATCCACAAGTTAAAGGAGGGAAAGTTTATTTTAGCTCACAGTTTGTAGAAGTTTCATGTCATAGTTCGCTGGTTTCAAGGCAGGATGATACATGGCAAAAGAGAAACTGTTCATAGCATTATAGGCGCGATACAGAGAGCTTACTTTCCTTCTTTCCCTTTATATTGTCATCCAGCCTACAAGCCTATTGATTGGTGCTATCCATGCTCAGAGTGGGACCCCACCTTCAGTAATCTCCGTCATGCTAAACCTGTCAGTAGACTGATCCAGTTATCATACATCCATAATCTAAGACCACAAAGCTATGATCCAGCCACCTTCTAAAAGCTGCAACTGTAAGTGTATAAAGCTTTGTGGAGGGGCATCTAGATATAATCCATAACATCCCACACTTGATCCCTAAAAGACTCACGCTCATCCCTGTATGCAAAATGTGTTTAGTTCGTCTCTAATAGCTGTCAGAGAGCCAACAGTTTGAGCAGTGTTGAGAAGTCCAAATTTAAAGTCTCTCTGAGATTTAAGACATACTCTTACCTACAAGTCCCTGGAAAAATGTAAAGAAAGTTAAACATTTTCAACCTATAATATCCAAGGTAAACATTTCTATTCCAAAAGGTAGAAATAGTGGAATAAAATCAATGGAACCAAAGCAAGACTAAAATGAATAGTGGAGAAATTTAATGGGCAAGCATTAAATCCTCCAGCTCCATATTCAGCATCTGATGCAAGGTGGTAAGATGTGAATTCCAAAGTGCTTGGGTGGCTCTGCCTATATGGCATTGCCAGGAATTGTGACCCTCATGGTGGCTCTCTTGGGCCAGTATTGTAGTCAGGGTTTACAAGGAAGGTTTAATACAAGGCACATAATTTATAAAATTATTTTATAATATTCAACCAAAGCAAATGCAAAAGATTGTAGGAGATATGTCCATGCACTTAGAGACCCAAAGAATGTAGTTGAGGGCATGAATCTCACGGCAGTGTTCTGTATGAATACAGCGGAAGTCCTAGAGCCATCAACAATATGTCATGCAAGTCTATTTCAAGGATTTGCACTGGGAAGGGCTAGTGGTCAGTGGTGGAAGCTAGAAAGTCCACAGCAGAAAGATAAAGGATATATTCCAGTAGACTGAGGGACCTGCACTGGAGTCAGGAAGCAATGTTCAAGGTAAAGACCAGAGCACTCCAGAAAAAAACCACAGCCATCCTCAGTCACAGTGAGGACCTGAGCTCCTCTGAGGATGAGAACAACTGAGTTCATGGACTATCAGGAAAAATTGTGTGACAAGATTCTCCACGAGAATGAACAACACACTATTTGCCCCTTCAGTTCTTTTTATGATTTTGGCAACAATCCTCAGGTGGGCCTTCCAAACCCAGCACCACCACTGATTGAGTTTAGCTGGCTGTTAAAAATTGATCATTAGTTAATTCACCACAGTCACCCTGCTCTTTCATTGCAACTTTCCTCAGATGTCTGTGTCCCTGGCATGTCCAGCCTTCTTGGTTCTCCAATATACTTCAGCCTCATATTCATAGTTTCACTTATCTACCCTCAGGGACACATGCCTGGCCTCCCAGGCCTTCTTCTGAAATCTCGGTGGAAGGTTTCTGACCTCTACAATAACTCTTGCACTCTGCATGCACCCAAAACCAGCACCACATGGATGATGACCAAAATTCGCTGCTAGCTGGAGCAGTAGCCAGGCTTCCTTCTCTCTTGGCTGTAAGGGTTGAGTGCCTGGACAGCTGATTCAATCCCAAGGAACAAATTCCCTGGGCTGCTTCCCTTCTGGAATATGGTTCCCTGGATCTCTCTTCTGAAATCAAAGTCTTTCACCTTTGTAATTTTGAGGCTGAAAGGATGGAGTACTGCTGGTTCTTGTGATGCCCTCAGAGCATGCTTTCTGTTGTAGTCTTCTAAAATATTTGACTTTTTATTGTTAATCTTTTCAGTAACCAGGTTCTTC